TTTTTAAAAAAGTTTCTTAAAATCTTTTTTCAATGGTCAAGCAAAAATACGACTGTTTGTTCTTTTCAATACCATATTTATATTATGATTATTGCAAAGTAAAGTAGAACTATCAAAATAGAGTGAAAAGAAAATGATATGAAAACTGAGTAATCTTGTCTCTTTTAAATTTTATTCATTTTCTACACTTTATCACGTGATGTGATCAAAACAGAAAGGGGGAAAGTAAAGCTTGCATTCACCACACAAATCCAACTGATTTTACTCATACCGTACAATCAATGACAAACAATTAAGAAAAACATTTCATATGGGAGAAAAATAATGCTCATGAAAAAGAAAAAGTATTATTTTTTTAAATATAAATTTTTTCTCCTGGCATGAAGATTTGTAAAAGAAATTGTTTGCATCTTTCTTCAAAGTATTTTATTATGCTTCAATAAACTTGAATCATCATTTCTCTGTACATTGAAATCCCCAAAATATTGGATGTGCCAGGTATTTTGATGATAATTCTTATGAATTTTTATTTCTTTAAACTTTTTATTTATCGTCAACCGATGTAACAATCATTCCAGTAGATAGACCATATTCTTATTGCAATATAAGGGACAAATTAAAAGATCAATGGGTGTGGGTGGATGTCAGTGTTGGTGTGTGGTGTGTGGGTGGGTGTGGGTGTGAGTGGCGGCGGCTGTGGCTGTGAGTGGATAGAAAGCTGATATCCATACCCACACGCACACCACCCACACCCGACACCCACCCCACATCCACACCCACCCACGCGCCTCACATTCACATCCATCCTCACTTGCCGTTTTTAATGGATGTTCTCTATTATATTCCAGTCGAAATTCATTGGTTGATCTGATCCTACTCAATGTCATTAAATTTGTAGTGAAATTCTGATCAATGGACATGTTCATAGTCATATTCTTGGTTATGAAAGTATGTGACAAAATCTTGTGTAAATAGTCATATATTTATTGATATATAAATATTCCAATATCTTGTTTGTTCCGACTATGAATGCTACCGACAGTCATGACTATCCAGTATTTACAAAATAATAGCATTGATCACGTCCAAAAATATGAGTATTTACTTTATATGAAACCACTTTCAGATATGTTGATTCATCATGCTTGATGATTATTTTATTCATACTTGACTCCTATAGAATAATGAATGATTAATATGATACCAGTGAATGTTTTATCTCATTTTTGTCAAAATTTTTAGTTGAACTTCAGTTTTTTTTTCTTTTCAAGTTCCCATTAAGTCTTACTCAAATAGTGGATTCACCGAACAATCACCATTGTTCAAATAAAATATTATCTGATTATCTTGTAGACCTTTTAGCATACAAATATTAGTTTCAATTCAATAGGGTATGTGCGACTAGACACAGTTCATGAGCTACCTTACTATTTGAGCAAATATTCATATATATCTAGTTAATTAGAATCTATTATAGCTTAATAATTTTGGTTTCTTAACATATATTCTTTATGAATGGTTTATTGAGACTTTCTTACCATTAAATTTCATAAGAATTTGGACAAAAATTGAAGAACAGATTAAACTATGGTGAGCAATGCAAACAACCAACAAATATTGCTCATTGTTTTATATCTATGATTATAGTCGTCAAATTGTTGCTATTGACATGGCATTATTCAGATCGTTACACAGTAACTTCCCATCGGAGTAGTACATTATACCATATTTCAGTTAGTACAAAGCGAATCTCGCGCGCATGATCACGCACCATAGAAGTAGTTGATAATTGTTTAAAATACAATTGATTTATCGGAAAGTCTCTGTATATCATGAAGATTATTTTGGACAAGCAAATAGACATACTACATAAAATTACTTATCTTTATCTATTGCCACTTTACTTTTTCGCCTTGAAAAAACTATTTTTCTCACTCATGTTGAGACTTGCATCGACAAGATAGTTTAAAAATACCATTGATGATGAAACTTTTTATCTCAAGTATTTATTAGAGCTATGGAGCTGTAGTCTGTAAAGTTATCAAAATGTAACTTGGTTCCATATAAATCGTAATTATATTCTCTTATTTTTTATTTCTAGATTCTCTTTTGGGTTTAAATTAAATAAATAATTTTTATCCAACCAGACATTGGACGCAATCCATGTAAAAAATTTGGATTAAGAACGAGATTAAAAATCGCTTAAAATGGTACTATTATAATCTGGTTTTAATCAGATTTTCTAGCTTTCAAAGGCAAAATTTATTTTATGCTGATTTTGTCAAAATTTATTTTAATGAATTACGGACAGCGACTATTGTAATCGATTACAATCAGATCATAATAGTGCCATTTCAATCGATTTTTAATCTGATTCTTAATCCAAATTTCTTTACATGGGAAGTATTTCGAAGTACTTTCTTATTCTAGCAGTGATATTCTTTCGTACTTAGACAACTATGAACTTATAGGTGCTATTTTACGCATCACATCAACAGCTACAAAACGGTACACATTGTTTTCCAATTAACATGCTTTATAGGAAAAAACAAAAAGTACTTAACATTTTTATGCCCATTATAAAAAAAAGTCGAAATTTTTTAAGTACTTTTTGTTTTTTTTGCCGATAAGACATATTAATCGAAAAACGATGTGTACCGTTTTGTAACCGCTGGTGTTATGCGTAAAATAAGGCCTATAGGTGCATAGCCATCAAAATACGAAAGAATATTACTGCTAGAATAAGAAAATACTTAGAAGTACTTGCGTCCAACGTCTGTATCCAGCAAGGAAGACTTTTCGCAGTAGCGACTATTTTATTTAATTCTGTGAATAGCTTCAATTAGCTTCGTTCTAGCTTGATTTGTCAACATGTTATCCGGTATTGGCCTCATTCTATGGCTCGATATAGTTTTTAGCATCACGGGACCATCAGGTAAACAGTCTAACTTAAGACCGATTTCTGACAAACAAATGAAAGAGTACAGTAGAGATTTCATTTCGCAATACAAATCTATAATTCGGTCGCTAATATATCTACACATCATGACGTCAGGAATGAAACTATTTTCTTGCATTTGATCAATGTGTATGGTCAATTAACGTTGTCGACTGTGTTTAATAATGTTTCTCATTCGAAAGAAAAATAATTGAAATTTTACAGAACAGGTCACTTGAGTGTTCGTAACACCAACAATGAAATTACAGTTATTCAAAGTAATTTCTCAAGCAAAATATATTCTCATGCCTATTTCTTGATTCAAGCATCAACAAAAAACGAATAACATCTTCGAATTTTTATCAGTAGATAGCTTGAATATCTCACGATTTTGTTAGTAAATGGGTGAAGTAATGTACAGTGAGAATAAACAGTGCCCGTTCAAGTTTTCATATAAATGGGTACTATTCAGATATCAGATGAATTTATATTTTGGCTGTGTGACATCAGCGATTCATTCTTTATAATTCGATTTATAGGCCATCTTTGTAAACAAAAAATTTTAAACTGTTAGATAATAATCTGTACTACAAAAGATCCACTACAAGTTAGTACGAATAATATTATAAATCATTTATAATATTTTTTGTGCTATAATTACATTATATTTTCGAATTACAGTTTTATAATGTATTATTATTTTAAAATGTTGGAATTGTCTATTCAATTAAAAAGTCTGATTAATTTAGTTAATGTTAGTGTTAATTTTCAATTTTCATTTGAAATTATAATATAAATAATAAGAAAGATAAAGTATGACAAAACTAGGCATCTAGACTGCTAATTTTTCAATAACAAAGAGGATGGATTATTTATTGTCGAAAAACAAGAGGCTATTTTTTTGTCTGTGGTGTGCAAATTAAGAGGTACAAAAACATGAAGAGTTGTTTGAACATGTTTGTGAGTCCTTCAATATTAGTAATTTTCTAAAATTTAACGCAAACGAAAAAAAAACCTTTGCAGTAGATTTATTAATGTATGTCTATAGGTCGTAGAGAAAAGATTTTCTTCTATGAAGTTTTTTTATAGAAGAAGAATTTTCAAAAATGAATTTAAATGTATTCATTGTGGCTTCCCTTGGTGCATTTGCAGGACCATTCAGAAAGCACTCAACGTTGTATGACACACGAACTAATCATACATGACAGTTACAAAACTATTGTTATTTTCTAAATACACTGAATTAGTATGGAAAACAAACTTTTTAGATATTTTCTTGCCATAGAGGTAGTGTTTTCTGAATGAGGATGTAACAAAAATAGTTAAAGTAAACTGGAAGTTAGCGATTTTAAATACTTTGTTAAAAGTCTTATCTGCTTGAGTTAGTTAAATGATTTCATTTAGAAACATCCTTCAACCGTCCGAGATTCTGTCCAAATTCAATTTGGAATCAGACTGGAATCAGTTTTGCAAACAGTAGTTTCGTTGGCAATGACATACTCAGTATTTTTATTGATACCCATAATACTGTATACGCGGCTGATCAAACGCGAGGTCGTATTTCGATCTGGGTCCAAGGTAATTTCCATTCGACACAGACGATCTCTGGTAGTCCGAGGGAGTCTTGGAGCCTATTCGTTACAAGCAATGGCGATATTTATGTTGATAACGGTATCAGTGGGCGAGTAGACAAGTGGGCAGTAAATTCAACGACTAGCATGTCTGTGATGAGTGTTAGTGCAAGCTGTGCTGGGCTCTTTGTCGATATCAACAACAATATCTACTGCTCCATTCATAATGCTCATAAAGTAGTCAAAAAGTCACTTACTAATAGTGTGACTACATCGACAGTCGTAGCAGGTACTGGGTCTGCTGGATCTACGGCAACTATGCTCAATAATCCTCGTGGAATTTTCGTTGACATCAATTCGGATTTATACGTCGCTGATTACAGCAACAAACGAGTTCAATTATTCAAATCGGGACAATTAACTGCAACGACAGTAGCTGGCAAAGGAGCACCATCTGGTAGTGAAATAATAGGACCCACGAGTGTTATGCTGAGCACAGACGGCACGTTATACATCGTTGATAACGACAAGCATCGAATTGTTGAATGGGGATCAACAACTGTTCGATGTGTAGTTGCGTGCTCAAATGCTTTTGGTTCAAAACCCATTCATTTGCATTACCCGTACAGTATGGCTTTCGATACATACGGCAACATATTTGTCACTGACCAAAACAATAATAGAATTCAAAAATTCTCCTTGATGACAAATCTTTGTAGTGAGTTCCACTATTACTAGTATAGATTCTTTTTTTTGATCAGTTCTGTTTATAGCTGCCGTTTCATTTACTGATATCTATATGCCGTATAATGCAAAATTTGATTATAGAGATTTGACTGACAAAGCATTAAGTTTCTGATTAATGACTTACATCTAGTTGCAAGCTGAACCTCTCTCTCATATACATATGCTAAAGGTCCTAGTTAAAGTGGTGAATTTTCTCATATCAGTTAGAAATACTCTATTGAAATGAATGCAACCGTCTATGAGAGTCTGAATGAATTCCATAAAAAGAATAAAAGTAAATTTCGGATACCATTTGTGAAAACATTCGAAGACTAACTCTATCAACAAGCTCTCTCGTTCCACACATGGATACGCGAAAAGACTAAAAAATAGAATATTTCAATTACAAGATACCTTTCACACGATCTCGTTTAGATCCAACTACAACTACAACTACGAAGACAACGTCCACTACAACTACAACTAC